AACAAGTATTTATACTGAACACAAGATGGTGCACTTATCATAGAAGATATATAAGCAAGTGAGTTAACAAGAATAGACATGATATCCCAGAGTCTTTTTCAGGTTTAGGAAAACTATACTCTAAAAAATCCTATAATAATAACCCTATTTCTGTTATCTAGCATGTAAATATATTTCATTTCTAGTACAAGTTGGGAGATGGTTATAATGATCATATTTCCAGAAAGTTACCATCACAGTATTCAAAAAAGCCTGAGCTTAGTATTTGACAGTTACTGCTTTCAAAATTTATAAAAATTGAGCCAATGGAGTTATCTATATTTTCTTACTATTGGAAGGTTTTGGGAATGTACATGGAGCCAATAATCTATACTTTTTAATTTTTTAATGCAAAATGATCATAAAGTCTTTTAATCCTGAATAGCCCTAAGGCAGAGAAACATAAAGAGCATTAATAGTTCTTCCATATGCCATGTTTACAAAGTACCATGAAAAAAAAGCAGTCATATTTTGTATTTAAAAAAGTGGCTGCTTTCACTGAGACAATAAAATAAATAATCACAAGTAATACATGCATATTTATACCATAAAATAACAATATTTAAAAAGCACTATAGCAATTAGATATTATCTGTGTTATTAATAATTATTATACTATTATGATGTTATTACACTAATAATAAAATACATTATCTGTGTATGTTAGGCATCATTTTGTTGGGCATTACAGGATACTTTGGGTATGAAATGCAAACATGGCCAGGTCAAAACATTTTTACAAGATGAAGTCAAAAGCTGACTTGTTACGGACCTGGTGTGAAGCTTGGCTGTTCCACTTCAGTGCGATGCTTTCCCCAGTGTATTTACACTGTTTCTCAGCACCGTGCAGAGTTAGTGCAACTCCTTTGCTTCTAGGGTGTGAATTAGCTCTGAGCAAGTTAGCTTGGGTGTCTATGTCGTACTTCATTGAACCGTGTGGATTTACCCTTTGAGCCTGTTTCAAGACAGGGATTTCAGTCCAGGACTCGCTAATCTTAGATGAATGCCCTACCCTACTTGCTATTTTTAGGCTTCTCTCTTTTCCCCCTTCCCTTCTTGTCATAACATTTTTGAGAGGTCTTGCGTTTGAGAGGTTGAATGGGAAAATTCTGAAATCCTAACAATGGTTAGATGTGAGAAATATTTTACACTGAACTCGTGAGACATTTCACACCTACTCCTCATGTGCTCAAAATAATCACAGATGAGTGCTCACCAGTAAGGAGGCAAGCCCAATGTTTTCTTTTTTAAAAATTAGTGTAGAAGCAGAGAGCAAAACCAGCAAAGCTGCAATCTATTTACACTCCTAAATCCTTGCAAAGGGAAACCATCTCTTCACGTGTTGCACTTGTCACTTTGTTGTTCCCTTTCTCAGTAGTTCCCTTTGCATTACCACAATAAACACAGTCATTAATACTGCATACCTGCAGTATCTTTTCCCCATTAGAGAATTGCCCATGCTGGGGTAATCATCTTCAGGGACTCTGGCTGTGAACAAGGACTTGAGTGCTGTTACTTGATAAAGTTGTGCACTACTCTTCTAAACATGGCCCTAGATTTCTATCCAAATATGGGTTTTGTTAATAAAAGGAAAATAATGATGATAGAACTTGTGGTCCTTTAGGAAAGCCACATGTGACAGGGCTTTGAAAACAGGCTTAGAGCTCAAAGGGGCAACAAAATAAGAGAAGGAATGATATTTTTCTGGTCTGGGGTTTGTGATGCAGGGTTACAGACGGAGAAGGAAACAGTGCTACCAAATAGCAGTCAGAGGTGAGAGAACTAACATCTTGCCTGCTCTGTATACAGAGGGATTTTCTCTTATCCCATATGCCCTGGTTCTATGAATCTGCTTTTAGGTTAAAGCGTAGATGTGTCTGCTCAGGAGCAGCTCTTTGAAGAAGCTGTAGGTGTAGCATTGTCTGTCATTAATCAGGCTGGAGATCACTCTCACAGTCATGGAAAATGAAATGAACAGTTAGTCAGCGGGTGAAAAAACACTCATTTTTCAAGTCTTCTTACCAGATGAACAGACACCTTTTGATGATACCAGCTTTCTTGTTTTCCTTTTTCTGATTCTTAAATTAATTTATTGGATATTTGAAATGTATTGTAGATTGTGACGACCATACACAAAAATATGATCAGATATATGTGCTTAGAAGATATATTAAAGATTAAAAAGGTAAGGACATAAGCAGACAAAACCCATAATGGTAGTTGGAATAGCTAACAATGCTGATCACGAAATATCAGATCATCACTCTAAATTATCAGTTATTAAGTGTTACTTAGAGCTCTACTACCATTTTGATGATATGAGAATGATTACTGTTCTTCTGGTGTAGGAAATTTAACATCATCTTGCATTGTATGCTTTTACTTCAGAAATATTTTTAGCACTGCTGCTCTGCAGAGCATCACTGCTAGAGGTTTGGAAACTTGTAAGACCACTTTTTAGACGCCAACAAAAAAGCATATATATTTCAAAGGTAATTGGAGCACACTGATCAAACCATATGAAAACAATCATATAAGAAATTTCTTTAAGATTTCTCTGTTCTACATAAATGTCAAGTCCCCAGCAAATGGCTCTATAACAAGAATTAACACCGAACAAGCTTACACAGAAAGAAAACATTCCTCAGGCTAAGTAGCATGTTTCCACAAAAAAACACTTTCAGTTCACAGAGCCTTGTGTAAGGGAAGACTCACAATCTCGACAACTTAACTGACTCCACACTAAGGAGAGGAACTTGGGGAGCTACAGATCACAACGCCTCCTGGTCATTTCCACAGCAACAGTAAATACAGGAATTTTACTTTGTCACTCTTTC